GCGTGAGTCCCGGGCCTCGACAGGCGGTGATATGTTGGAATGAAAGCTGGACAGGTCGGCAATGAGGTCCGAGACGAAATTCCGTCGCAAAGCCTCCTTGCGGTGCCGGCTCTCATTGAATACACGCAGAACTTCGGTGCTGAGCAGGTGCGCCAGATCAGATAATGATTCGCGCTCTTGCTGCGACAGTTCATTTCGAACGGTCGTTCCGAGAACAGCGAACGAGCCGAAGGGCACGAGTGGCCCCCCATCTTCGAGCGGAAGTAAAAGCGGTTGTCCAGCAAACGACCGGGGAAGATCTGCGGCTCAATTAGCGTCAGATCCTGGCGGAATTGGACAAGAGCGAACCAGGAATGTGCTCGAATCGCCGATCGTGTTGGGTATCGGGCTGTGATGTGCGCGTCAGGATCTGTTGGAGGTATCGTCACAAAGAGTCTCACGATATCCAGCAGTGTCCCATCCGTGCGGAGTGCGGTATGTGAGCACTGAGATTGAATTGGAATGGCGCAACCGATAAGTTTCAGAAACTCACCAAAGATTCCCGATAGACCAGAGACTCCCTCGGCTTGTGTTTGCATGCCACCGCAGCAAGCACTAACTGCATGTTCTCGTGAATCAGCAATATGACTGTCACGGAGATCGATACGGGCGCAAGGGAGATTAGGGTCTATAACCCACGAATTGGAGCCTTGAAGAGCGCGTGCGCGATCCGAGCATATCGGTCCGCCAGCGGCCACAGAGAAGGATTGTCGAGCCCGAATCTTCGGGACGGAGAACATCAGATCAGTCACTGACGCTGACTCCAGGGACCCGTACCGCTGTATCACCAACGACCGCTCCGTCTGCAGTTCTTTCGAAGGCGAGTTGAGTCTAGACGTCCCGCGTCGGGGGTCAGGCAAACGGCAGAGAAGTCAGGGGTCTCACAAGCCGTGATTGGGCTCAGGCCCAGGCGAACCGCATAGCGAACCGGGAGGAGTGACTTTGACAGTAAGATTCCTCCCCGTATCAGATCCCTCGTGAGACCTGGCGTCCGATGCAGCACTCGAGGGGCTTATTCTTGCTGGGGAAGTGGCAGTAGCGGACGAGCTCGACCGGAGGTTGTGCGACATCAAGCTGGGGCATGGACTGCCCAACCGGCGCGATGGGGGTAGGTGGAGCGGGTAAGTGTCAGCGGTGGATTAAGCTAAGGTGTGGGGCGGAAAAAGGGGCTTTTCGGGCTTGAACCCGCTCCTGTTTGCATGACCATCGACAAGACATTCGTCGTCCATTTTGGTATTTTGGTTCCGCTTTCGGAGATCGCACTGGCAGCGGCAGACGTCAAAGCGACAAATACAGCGCTGACTCAGCAATCGCGAATGCAGCCGTAATGGGATCACTGCTTGCTTCGCGCGATCACGCACAATCTAGACGCAGCAATCAACCGCTACTCTCCATGAAGTGCTTTGCTATGAGAAACCGCCCCAAAAGCAGCCCTATTCACCGTCCTCTATTGAATAATACCGCAAAGAAAGCTCGGACCCGTGCACTGCCACCTGTCTGACACATCGCGACTCATCCCTGTACGACAATGTGTATAAGTCGGTAGCAACAGTGTGCCGCACTATCAAATTCAAACGACGCGAAACCCGCCCCTAACCAACCATGTCAGAATCCGCCGTCCGCTCTACTCCAGGAGGCGGTCTGGTACTTTCGGGACTAGCCGTCGACGATATGGCAACGAACGTCTTACATCTGGTGCCTCCTACGATACAACAGCGCCGGGATTTTCGCATCGTCCTCATCTCGGATGAAGAATCTGCCAGTCTGTCTCCCGTCCAGAAAGCCGCCTCCGCGTCGATCGACACCGCCCAGCTCAATGCGGTGGGGCTGGGCAGCGGGAGCACGACGGTGCCCGATGTGTTCTTCCTGGTCGTGGTCTGGGCGGCCGGGCAGCTGTTCCGCAAGCGGGCTGGTCTACCACCTGCGCAGTTCCACGTCCAACTCTCGGTCCATGACGATCTGGATGCGGACAAGAGCGTGGCTTCACTCCTTCCCGATCAGTTTCCGGACTCTCCTTCTGCTGAACTTTTAGACCACCTAGCATTTACACTGCATTTATCTAGTCTGTTCGATGATGCCGAGAAATACAGCGCGATGCTAGTCCGCGCTTTCCCAGAATCCCAACGCGGGTATCTGAGGCTGGGCGACTCGGCGATGGGATCGCAGAAGCACAAACTCGCGATGCTCGCATATGGCTGTGCCTTTTCTCGCGCAGGAGACGACCAGCGCACACAGACATACGTGCTGAAGAAAATGTTTGAGTGTGCGCAGCACACGGAATGGGGCTCGGTTGTGCGCTCGGAGGAGATTGAGCAGATCCCCGGCGGTATCTCCGACATCCTCTTTGCGCCCTGGCCTGATGGATTGCGAGACGCTCTGGCAGAAAGGGATGATTTCATGCCTACTCTGCAGCTCGAGCCCCGCCGACCGCTCTTCATCCCTGGCCCGACCCGGAAACCGGCTCTGTTCAAACTGCCTCGCTGGTTCCGCTGGCTCGTCCCGTACCATCTCGCAATCATGTCGACGCCCAAAAACGAGGAGGACATCGCTGCACTGGCCTCACCCCATCTAGGCATCCGGCACGTGCTGACGCTGACCGAGGAAGAGCCACTGCCGCGGAAATGGTTCCACGGCAAACCCATCACAAACTCCTTCTGTCCGATCCCCAATTTGGAGCCGCCGTCGCTGGAGCAGATGGAGCTCATCATGCGTCTGTTCGACGACCAGACCAAGCTGCCGCTGCTGGTCCACTGCGGCGGGGGCAAGGGCCGCGCGGGCACCGTCGCCGCGTGCTACCTCGCCGCCTACGGCTTCCGTCGTCCGGTGATGCACCAGGACCACCCGGAGATGGCTGCGTCGGACGCCATCGCCAGTCTGCGCCTCCTGCGGCCCGGCAGCTTGGAGACATCGCGGCAGGAAGCGTTCGTGTCAACCTGGTGCAGCGCGATCTGGAAGCGCCGGGCGGTGAAGGCGGACGGAGTTCCCGAGCCACCGCCGTGCGAGCTGGACATCCAAGGGGAACCGCTGGTTGCGCCGAACGATCTTTTCATGCTGGTCGGGCTCCCGGGGTCTGGCAAGTCGTGGTTCTCCCAGGCGGTGTGTGCGAGGAATCCCAGTGGCTGGCGCCGCATCTCGCAGGATGAGTCGGGGAGCAGAGCGAGTTGTGAGACCGAAATCGGCCGCAAGGGCCGGACGCTTCTAGATAGGTGCAATGCCTCTGCTGCAGATCGCAAGATATGGCTCGCCCTTGCGTCGAATTGGGTGGAATCGCCAGTCTGCATCTGGTTCGATGTGAGTAATTGATGCGCATCTTCTGCACGAATCTGAAGCTTTGTCCAGTATGACAGGTCTCTCTGTGAATCGCGTGCGCAGAGACGAATGACTCATCCGACTCTTCCGCCCGGCAGTCGAGTCCGCAATGCGATAGCCCAGATGCACAACACATTCGATGAACCGTCCTTGAGCGAAGGCTTCAAGACCATCGTCCGGGTCAAATCCTTCGAAGCCGCTGCGGAGTTGGTCGAGCGTCTCTCGCCTCCGCTCGGGGTTTACAAGTTCCCTCGAACACCCCATCTGCTTAACCTGGGCTCTGCCACCGACGACGACGTCTTCACAGACACCGGCGCGCTGCGCCACTCGCACGTCGTGATCACCGAAAAAGTCGACGGCGCCAACATGGGCTTCTGGCTCTCCCCGGCGCGCGAGCTGCGCATCCAGAACCGGTCTCACTACGTGTCCCCCGCGTCGCACGAGCAGTTCAAGAAGCTCGGGCTGTGGGTCGACACGCACCGGAATGCGCTCGTCCGCGTGCTGGGCCGCGACGCGCACTTCCCGAGCCGGTACGTCCTCTACGGCGAGTGGCTCGCTGCGACGCACGCGATCCCGTACGAGACGCTGCCGGACCGTTTCCTCGCGTTCGACCTGTACGACCGGCGCACGGACACATGGGCTAGCCGCGCGGCGCTCGCGGCGCTCCTACACGACACGGCGTTTCACCTCGTGCCGCTGCTGTACGAGGGCCCGATGCCCGTGGACGCGCAGCTGAGGGAGATGGTGGGCCGCGGGTCGCTGTTTTACGCCGGCCGCGTCGAGGGCGTGTATGTCAAGGGCGAGCGCGACGGTGTCGTCGTCTCGCGTGGCAAGGTCGTCCGAGCGGACTTCATCGCGGGGAACGAGCACTGGACGAGGGGCAAGCTGCGGCTCAACGGTCTAGCACGACAATAGTATTATATGTTGTATCTATGCGCATGTATGTATGTATGTAGATGGACTACGCACGAATCGTATCTGGCACCTCGTAAGGTGGCCTCCCATTCCTCTGAGCGCCGCCGAAATAAATGCCCGTCGTTCTCCCCTCCGAGTTTATCACAGTTCAGCTACGCAGATGGTGGGTACCCAAAATGCGCATTGAATGTGGAGGGTACAATGGAAATAACACACGCTCGCGAGACTGAAATTCATTGGCATTGACATTGACCGGGTGGATGGAAGAAAGGAGAGGAGAAAAAAAAACAAGTGGGCAACGCCACGCCACTGATGGATATATGCGGCGTTGATGATCGGCCATTATCACGTGTGACGCGATCTTCGTCTGTCATGATCACGTGTACCTCGGTTGAAGATCCGGAGAAAGGGAAACTACATCCAGTACACCCATCAACATCTCCGATACTACGGCCTCAGAATAGGTTGCGGGGCCCGGAATATCTCACCCTCGGATATCTCAAAATTTTCCTACCAATCACTTCTTTCTCACTCACACGAAGCACAGAGCGGCCGATCGCACTGTGCCACTGTTACAAATTACTTTGTCTCTCTTACAGGCCTGATTGATAACAGTTGATAACGGACCAGAGACTTATATAACAAAGAACACGACTGACCAACCCTGATGCCGAATACAATCCGGTCAAGCTGCAGATAGCCTTCCAAGGGATACCCCGCCGCAGCGAAACCAATTATCAGGGACAAAGGTCCGCGTCCGTTCTCCTTGCGTCCATGTTATATGTACAAACTACTACAATATATGCACTACATCCGATGATTTTACACGAGCCATCCGATCTCGAGGTCAACCCTCATCTCTATGTGGAGAGCCGATACCTGACCGAACGAGTCCAGCAGGCGAGCGAGAATGGCTGTCTCGCGCGCGAGGCTCCTCACGGATGAGGTCGTGATCAGACTCGGGATCACTGACGGGCTCGAGATTGAATGCAGCGACGATGCGGCTGAGGTTGTCGTCGTTCAATATTCCGTCTTCAGACCGGCCGTGGATATTCAGCATTAACCGGACCAGCATGGTCACGGAAAAACTGTGTGCGTTGAGCACATGAGACCTGTATCGGGGTGGTAAGCGTACCAGGTGGCGAATGAGGCGAGAGTGCCCCGGATATGGCGCTGCCAGATAAGTCAGTCACACACTGCTCGGTTATCATGAGAAGATAGGACGAACATTTGGAGTCTGAGTGAATTGTATTAGATACTAGGTTCCCAGAGAGAAAGGATGGACGAACCAGGAAGGTGACAATGTTCGCCAGATTTGCCAGAGCCATGGTCCTGTGCAAGTCAGTAAGCAGGACCTCACGGCATCCACTTGGTCTCCCACCCGTAATAAACAGCACCTGGACAGAACATCGATCGACGCTCGACATAAACTCCAAAAAAAGACACACCATCGAAAACTAGAACGCGATGCAAAGGCATATGCATCCGCGCGCCTACTTCCCGTCGAGAAACGCTTCCAAAATAGAGCGTCAGCCCGAAAATAATCGTGTCGAAGGTGAACAGGCAGATCCAACAAATGCTGAGGCCTGTGGGAACAGATCAATCCGAAGGACTGCGGCGCAAGATAGCGGAACCCACGGCTGGCACTATCAAGAATTTGAGCAGATGGACATGGCCAGAATAGAAAAGAAGAAGGCGCACCCCAGTTGCGAAACTCCCAGATGACACCCCGGGACGACGGTTATGGGATAGCCGCGCTGCCCTTGACGGAGACTCCACTGAACAGGCCATCATCACACATGGCTAGGAAGCGAGCGGTGGGAAACACGCACGGCGGTCAAGCCGACAAGGCTGATAGCGATCAGAATGATGGAGAGAAGCAGGCGGCGGTTTCGTCCAGAGAGCGCGTAAACGCGCCCGATCATGATCACTGAGCAGAGAGGGGCAAATCAATACCTAATCGACCATGCCCATGGCAAGGCAACGGACCAGACACCACCAGTTGCGTGAGCAACATACCGACCTGATGCGTAATAGCGACGAGATAGCATCTGCATTCGTTCAATGGGGATAACAATAAGCAATGCGGAAGCAACGTACGACTGTCATATGTCCAACAAACCCAGCGTCAGCAGTCAAGCATACTTCTCAGCCATATCGGGTCCCGTACCGTCAAAGATATGGGCGCATAGATGAAGATGAGGTGGGGGAGATTGGCGACGATGACCCCGTAGCGCACGACCAGGAAGAGATACGCGCTCATCCTCTTCTTACGAGCCCAGATGTACTGGATCTCTTGGTCTGTCCTTGATCAATACAAAAGCGATTCGGGGACGTGGACGTACGCACCGAATGTCAGGGCATGGTCCCACAGGAGAATGGACATAGCGACGAGATATGAGCAGTCCTGCGTGAGCCTGTATTCGAACCGTCCACATCTGCTTTCACGCGGCGAGAAACTGCTGTAACGCACGCCGTCTGTGCCTGCGACACGATATCGATGTCTTCGTATTCCATGAGCCCCGGTGAGACCCCTCGTACGCGCAGACGAGTGGATAGAGGGGGAACAGGTTGGTTGATCTGGGCAAAGCGCGCTTGGACTCTGAAAATCCATGAGATGCCAACGTTCAGGAGCGAATCGGGAATACTCACAGCCGGGTGAGGCAACCAACACTCCTGTGCAGCGGCGCGCGGACAGGGCTCAAACGCTGTCAGGCCCCTCCCATGCGCGTGAGGGCGCGGAAGAAAAGAATGCAAGTGTCAAGGGAAATGCAGTCATGTCAATGATGGGAATACGAAGGGAGGTCGGGCACGTGGGTCGCGGCCGCCGCTACGAATAAGGTATCATTGTCATTGATGGTCTTACAACTGAGCCGGCCAAAGTCCGTCTGAACGCCTGCCAGCACTCTCATCCTTACTCGGGACACGTAACGCGTCGTCGTCTCGTCAACATGGCTAGCCCCTCGAAGGAAGATCCCACTGTCGTCGAGGAGGAAGAGTTCCCACAGGCTGGGGTGGAGAACGAGAACGAGAATGAGAACGAGAACGAGAACGCAAACGACGAGGAGGGAGACGAGAGCGACGAGTACGACGTGGAGGATGAGGGAGATGACGGCTACGAGGATGTACGTGGATTCTTTCGACTGCTCTCTCGCCAGAGCTGACCTTAGCTGCAGGAAGCAGAGGGGAGTCCTCAACAGGTATGTTCAATATATGCGCTCTGTTTGATCGGCATTCTCAACGATCGGTAGCAGTCAAGCTTGACTGCTTTGCTTCTCGGGAATGTAGGCCTGGGTCGACCCCTTTCCTCCGGCAGTTGCTGAGTGTTTTCGTCTAGCGCGCGCCTGTCACCGGCGAAAATCAGGACGTGGGCGAGGACGTCGGTGATGACTACGAGGACGATGACGACGACGATGACGACGACTATCTTCAGGAAGACAACCAGGAAGCCGGCGCCTTCCCCAAAAAGCGTAGCATTGAGGAAGTTGAGGATGAAGAGGAGCCCGTGAACGGGGAGACCAAGAAAGTCAAGACGTGAAGACCACGGCCGTCGCCTAAAATCAAACTGCGCTATCATTATACATCCATTCTATCTCTGTTCTACTGGCTACTGACCTCTTGTTGTTTGTATACATACGCTGCTGTGTACCGTGTTTTGTGGACTGCGAATATAAAATTGTACGACTCGTTCAACGCTCAAGGGACCAACGCTTCTTCGTGCCAGCCGTCGGCCGCTCGCCAGAACCGCGTCCTCCGATTGGGAACCGGAGCCAGCTCGACAAAGTCAACGTCCGTGGGGTTCACGATGAGCAGCGCAAAGTTCGAAAGCGACAGATCCCACAGCCGTTGAGCCTCCGCATCGCCCGGCTTCGGTTCCTGCAACTCGGTCGGCCACTTCTTCGCCTCGTCCTGCCCGCCCTCCAGCTTGCTGCCCGGGACGGGTCGACACCAGCTGGCCTTCATCTGCGGGCTCATCTTCTTGAAGGCCTCGACCCGTTTGGCCTCCCAGTCGTAATCGCTCGCGAGCCCCAGCGCGGAGATAGTGTGCATGAAGTGCTTGCGCAGATCGCCGGGCGCCGGGACGATGTGTGCTTTGCCGGCGATGCGGTACTGCTCCTGCGTTCCTTGGATGTACCACGCAATCTGCACGTTCGGGGTGGCGATCATCTGGGCCGTCTTGGGCGTGCGCACATCTCGTTCGCGTTTTCAAGACAGCGGTTCATGAGAGACATAAGACAGACTGACCCGTGGTGGAGAGGATGAGCGGCTGCGAGGGGTCACTTGTAGTCATGAATTCGCGGAAGACGAGAGACCGGACATGGGGTATCGAGGCGGATGGGTCAAGCGAGGCGAGTTGGACGACTGTGATGCCCAGAAAAGTTGGTATCATTCACGCGAGCAGCACACCTTTCCAGTCGCACCAGTCTGTTTGGGATATGTTGCAAGAGCTTTGTCAAGAGCTGTCTTCCACAGAGGAGCTGCAAGCTGCTGCATCGTTGTGAGCGAGTGATCAGTGGAGGCGATCAAGGAGCGTTAGAAGGTATCACGCGATTCGCCATATCTAGTCGATACAAAGTATAATACATGCTTCAGGTTTGAATAAAATTACCGACAATCATCGTTGGAATCCCCCACTTATCTCGACGTATCGTGAAAGAAAAGCAACAATTGATGAAGTCGCCCTCTTCCTGTACCATTGGGGGAGACTCGTCGCCTCCAGCTCTGGCTACCTCGGAAGCCGCATTGGGAAGCGAGTTTGACGAGGGCAAGACTGGCTTATATCGCAACACACAGGTGGTTAGAACGGCTTTTTGTGAAGAGTCGAACGCGACGTTGCCGTATTTCTATGCTTGCGTAAGTGCTCGTGTGAGCAGAGAACAGGAAGCATAGGACAGACCTCCCAATAGTTGACCGCACTCTCTTCAGACATCAGCTCGTAGATGCAAAGCCGCCCCTCCCGCATGTCCTCTCCGCTCACCCCAACTAGCTCACTGAACTCTCGATTTCCTTTATAGATCTCGCCAGTCCGGCGCCACAGGCATGCAGGGACACCCATCGCAGAGAACACGCGATCGTAGTCTAACAGTAGACGCTCGAAGGCTTCTTCGATGAAAACCAGATCCTGAAAGCTATCAAAAGGATGCCGTGACCAAGACAGTTCTCGTACGATATCTCGCAAGCTCTGCGCTACAGCACGGAACTTAGGACGCAGCACAGAAAGCGGCTGCAATATCTGCTGCTTTGATTCTTGTGATACGCTGGGTCCGGGTTGAGGGACATAGCAGCCAGATGAGCAACAACAAAAACGCACTTGCGATCCATCCATCTACTCAGACGGGCATATCCCTTGACATAGTTGTATGGCTTGAGGAGACCCGCCTCGTACTTGCTGCGAATGACACGATTTAGACGCTCGTCTCGTGAGCCCGACTCCTGGTCCGCGGCAGTTAAGAGAAATCGTTCGGTCTTTGTGGCAGCAAGGATGACAGAGGGTGTGATGGGTGGCGGCTGCGCAGGCGCAACCTGCGCTTGTTGGGGTACGGGAAGTGGTAATATGGTGGTGCCCTGCGGTGTCGGACCAGAAAAGAAAGTCCCTTCGTCCAATGTCTCGAGGAAATCACTGAAGCTCGGTTCGAGCCATTGACAAAGCCGTGCGAAGAGCACACACCTGAGCATGGAGAATTCGTTGCCCAACGTCTCTGGCTGGATCAGATATGGTGATTTATTCCATTGCGTTGCCGAGGTGAAGGTCATAGATTGCCCATTAGGTACGGGGGTCGAGCCGCTGCTCTGCTTGTCTGACCCTTTGGACTTTCGTTCGTCATGACACAGATGCCCAATCTCTCGTTTGATGCTTGTCAAAATGACCGTAAGTTTAGGAGTGTCAGGGCAGCTGCAGACCAGTCCAACTCACCATCGTTGGCACGGACGTCCCTCATCGCAGGTCATATGGCTGCGCCGGCAATAGAGGCAGGCATGATTGACCTTGCGGCGTTTAGATCCTTTCCTCGAATCATCCGTCTCCTGCGCTGGTCCTGATGATGCTGAAACGGGACGCTGTGGTGTGTTGGCTAGGTTGGTGGCAGAGTCGACTAGCTCAGGCGCAGAGGGATAGTTTTGACCGAAACCGTCCATAGCAGTGAAAGGTTGATATGACGTCGCCGCTGAGAGATTCACGTGAGTTCGCGCCGATGGGCCCAGTCCTGCCCGTGCCAGTGACTTGGGATAACAAAAGTGTCTCGAGTGTTCTAGCGGTGAAGGTTGGCTATCGTGGTCAGACAACTGCCAGTTGTGGCAGGGGAATGTTCGGTGGAAGCCAGAAAAGTCGAGCACGCGATGCGCAAACACGGATACACACTTTGACCCCTTCGAATCTCTTCGAATCCCCACAACACCTGTGCATCAATGGAACCCGTTCTCTTTGAATATCGTTATTCAGGATTGACTCTTACGGAAAGCGTGGACATATTCGCGGGAAGGATAGTTCAATGGGTCCATTGGCCTCATGTCTTCCAAGTCGGCCTCAGATTCTGGATCCAAGTCGCGCTTCTAATGTATCATGCCCATTTCAAGCGCATGTAGAGAACGTGAAAATGCTTGGGCCTGGTCCATGGATATCGGCGATCTATCGTCTAGGTTGAAGCTTGCTGACAGGCATGGCCACCAGAACGCCTTCGTTCACAGGGAATGTCAATCTCAGCCTTTTGCAGCTCTCTTGCTTTCGTCAAAGAAGTCTCATTCACCCGATATCGGATTCAGGCCGTTTTCTCCGACCTCGACCGTGACAGGATGATGAGAGCACCGAGATCGCGAACCAGCGATAGTTGGAACCTCATCAATCTTCGGGAAAGCAACTTGGAGACCGGATGCACTTGAGTAGGTCCTGGTGGCTGTCGCCAGCATGCACACGAAGTGAAGTTGTATGGAACGATCATCCACCCGTCGCCAGTTTGGCGAGGCCAAATGCATCTTCCAGACGCATCCTCGCGAGCTCTATCTGGTTCGTTCTCGATTCAACACGGCGATGGCTCGACGGCCAGTTTTTCAGTCTACGTTGACAAGCCCTGCGTTGCACCGTGCACAGGTCACCACCATGGCTCGGCACTTCAGTCCCGTGACCCCGATCCCATCTAGTTTCGCCGACGCCACGCACCCGATCGACGGGATTGTCGGTCTCGCGTGGTCAACCTGTCAAATTTGGGTGAAAGCCCTTTTCCAACAGCGCTGTGAATCAAGGAGAACCGGCTTGGGAAGTTTCTCGTCGGCGACGCTTCAAAGCTGTATCTCAGAGGAACCAACTGGAGCAAGCACACTGGCAATGTAGAGTCGCATGGGTTCAGCAGCTCGACCGGCTTCTGGCGGAAAGGTCACTGGTTCTGCCATCGGAGTGCGCAGGGTTGCGATGTTTGAAACGATCATTGGCTCTGGGACGATTGTCATCATACCGTATATGGGCCACCCGATGCCGTGAAGCAGGTGCTGGGCTCGGTAGTATTTGACCTCAGGTCTGATGATTCCGCGATCTCCTTGAAACCAGGTTCACTTGAAGACCTGCGGCAAATTGGTACCAGTGCTTATGTTATTCTCGGCTGACCGCGCATTCAGTAACAGAGACTGGGTAGTCTCGCCGCACAACTTCAGCCGCGGTTCACCTGAGTGCATAGGCGTGCAGATTTTGGTTTGGGAAATGAGGTTTGGCTGCTGGAGACAGATTGCGTATATACAGTACAGTGTCTTTGATTTCAGCACTGCCCTTTGGTTCGTTGCCTTGCCGTGATCGTCTTTACCTCTCTCCGATGTCACTGGTCCTTTGTTCATGCGGACCGTATAACATTAACTTGGTAATTGGATCTTGGCATGTTGGCAAGGAGTAGACACCGCCATGCCCATCGTGTTTTGATGGGTGATGAATAGCGCCTTCAACTAGTTTGAACAATATCTGTTCTTTCTTTCACCTCCATCTTCACCTCCCCTCCCGCTATCCTTTTCTTATTTTCTTTTTCTCCAGCGGGTCCGGGACTCCTTTACTTCATTCTTTTCTCCGATTCTTCTGTCTTATTTGACCGGAAATGTTCGTACGACCCACTTTGATCTTGGCTTCTGTGACTCTGGCGCTGGCGGCGGTGGTTCCGAAGAAGCGGTATGTCCGGCTATTCCAGCTTCAGGGGTCCGCTTTGATGTCTGCCGCTCAGTGCGACTGTGTGCAACGGACACGCTGAGCTGTGCGACCGACTCTACTCAAACGTCACGTACATCGGCGCGCACGACTCCTTCGCGTTCAGCAAAGATCCCCTTGCCCGTGCGTGATTATCTGAGCGATGTCCTTGAACAACTACCAACACGGTTACATTTGCATCACAGTTGCGCGCGACCAAGAGATCGACATCCCGTCGCAACTCGCGCTGGGCGTGCGACTTCTACAAGCTCAATCGCACATCGACAACGGCGTCCTCAAGTTCTGCCACACCTCTTGCACGCTGTTCGACGGGGGCTCCGTGCAGGACTACCTCACGAAAGTCAAGACCTTCCTCGACGCGAACCCGAACGAAGTGCTCACGCTCATATTCACGAACCCCGACGGCGCAGATCTGCAAACTCAGTGGAAGCCCGCATTCGATAACGCGGGCATCTCGGATCTCGCGTTCGTGCCGCCATCGCTGCCCGTTAAGCAAGCCGACTGGCCGACGCTCGGGCAGATGATCGATTCGGGCAAACGCGTGGTGGTGTTCCTGGACGCGGGCGCCGACGGCGCGAACCCCGTCGACTTCATCCTCCCCGAGTTCCCGATGATCTGGGAGACGCCGTTCTCCGTCACGGACAAGACGTTCCCGTGCTCCATAGACAGGATCGCGGGCCCGCTGGGCGCGGCGGACCACATGTACATGATCAACCACTCGTTCAACGTGAATATCCTGCCGTTTGGGGGTGGGGTCATCGTCAGCGACCCGCTCGACGCCCCGACGACGAATAGTGTTGATTCGTGCGTGCTTGATGTGCTTTCTTGTGCATTTGCTGATTCATCCATGCAGTATCCTCGCGAACGCTGCTGGATGCAACGCCCTGGGCTCTGGACGAGCCCCCAACTTTGTGCTGCTCGATTTCGTCAATCTCGGGCAAGGGTTTGCGGCCGCAGACAAGTTGAACGGTCTTGCTTGAAGCTGGGTTGGAGCGTCGTCATTATTACTTGGGCAGTTTCGCTTTGCATAATGGGTATATCAGTTCAGTTGGTAGTAACTCTCGCGGTCACGGAGGTACAGCACCTTCCAGCAAGTGGTACTTACCTGAATGGTCTGAGTTGCCAGTGGAACGTTTGTCACTGTCACTCTCGCTCGCCTTCCGGGATTTCAAATAAGTCGTCACGGGACAAAGGGGTCACTGGTCAATCAACGACGCGTCGCGTGTCTCGACTTGATCTCTCTTCATCTCCCCCATGAATCAAGACGACTCCATTGGAATTCTATTTTCCTTTTACGACTATGGCCCCATTCAACCTAACACCGACGAGTTCGAGCAACCGAAACGCATGCGATTCTGGGATGGGCCTATCCGCGCATTTCTTCGAGACCAGGGGGCTACATGATGAATGATTTCTGCTTGTTGGAAGATGAAGTAATCGACTCGATCGGATGCTACATGTTTCCCGAGACGCCTTGTGCTACAGCGAGGCCCCAGGATCCCCGCTTTGCGTCTATGGAATCATCCCCAGCGGAGGCTTGGAGGGTGTTGTACACAAAGCCTTTTAGGCACATACCGATGTAAGGACGCCAATTCTTACCTTGTTTCAGCTTCAATCGAACTCTTTTCAGGGTAGACACGTCTTTGCTCAGGAAACCGAGCATCCGGAGAACCATGTCGCCATCAAGCTCATTCGGCACGACAGCCCCGAGCACCACATTATGAAGCTTTTGCAAGAAGAGGCAGAGGGGAAACCTATTCGCGGCCTAGTTCCCGTTCTCAAGCTTCTACCGTTTGGTGGGCATTGGCTTGCGGTCATGCCGCGGTGCGTGAGAGTATTCAACGGCTGTTCCTGACTGAGCGATCGAGTCAAGGTGGGGCGGCAATGTTGACAGTCCACGACCCCGGACTATTGGGCAGGTGCTGGACTGATTTGAAGATGCGCTTTCTGGCTTGGCCTACCTGCATGAGCGGAGAATCGTCCATAAGGTACGCAACATCGTCCATATTCTCCCTGTCCGATGCTGAATAACACAGGATATCTCCAAAGCAATATGCTGGTCAACCATGTTCCCATCCGGGTCGAACTGTTTGAGGAAATGTCCAATCCTATACGTCTGCAGTTGAGGGAACAAGGGCGACTGAAATTGGCTCTGTTCGACTATATCCTCTCGCTTGTCTTCCCGAGAGACACTCTCTTGGCGCTCGCTTGCTCGCCTTTTGAGGATCATTGGATCGGTCAGTGGAAAACAGACTCCGATATCGCTCAGGGTGACTATCAATACAACCCTTTTGCTCTGAGAAAACGCACACACCTTGCGAGGAATTTATATCTGCAAATCCTTCGAAGGAACGACCTTGTCCAAGGAACCGGCGGGGTCCGAAGATGCCCCCACCGCTTGACAAAGTCGTCGGGCAATCCCGCCCACCGGTCGTATTCCGTCACATGAATGAACCGCTTCTTGACCGCAGGAAGTGGCTGCTTATCCAGGTCCCCGCTCTCGGCTCTCAATGAGCGTAGCAGGCCAAGTGCCCCGGACGCTGTCAGCCGAGACGGGACATGCCAATGAAGCATCCCGTCGAACAGAGGTGCCAGGATGGGCACATAAGGTGTATGGTACTATCCAGACGGTCAGCAGCCAGTACTGACTCGGAACAGTCTCACACGCGCACCTGCAGATCGACGCAAAGATCCCCGGCCAAGATAGACACGTCCGCCGCAAACGGGTCGTAGTCGTATTCTCCTTGATATATTTCGTCAGTCCACTTGTATGCCCCGAGCCAGAATTCAGCATAGGGCAGCCGGGCGGAGGCTCGATCAGGGAAGATCAGCGCAACATCAAAGTCGAAGATCGCATGCCGCAGAACGCCTGCGTCTCGCAGCGCTTGTCGGGTCGCCGGAGGGTCATCTATTTCAGTCGCCAGGACAGGTACGTGGTTGACCAGGGTGTTCCTGTAGGAGTGATCCTGCAGGGCATCAGCGCGAACACGAAGCGCTGCAGATTTGGAGGTTCACCCTGTGCACGATATTGTGACTGGAGAAACGCGAGACCCTCGAACAAATCCTCGAGGAGGTTCAGGACGGGTCCAATAGTCGTCGGGAACGGTGCCATAATGCCTTCACCCCATCTGATAGACCGCTAAGACATCAGAATATCGACCCCGAAAGACCTCACCGTACCTTGGCATGACAACCAGCCAGTGGCCACCAAAGGGTATGATATCCAGGACAGGAATCAGTCCGCGCACCGGCTTCTCTTTGGATCTTTCGTGAATCAGCTTGAGCACATGTATCTCGACGCTCTTGTCCCGCACAAGCTTGACTGCGACGTGACGATCCGGCCTGTCGATATGCTGAGCAAAGACCGCTCGTCCCTGATGTCCGTCGGCGGTCAGCCGCGACGAGTAGCCCAGCCAAAGGCTCGATGGACGCACCCGAGCTTCCCGAGCATAAGCCGTCTCCATCTGAGCATAGAGCGTCTTCTCCCGAGCCTCTTCCGCGTTCCTATCCCGGTCGTCTGGGTCCATGAACGCATAGCGGTCGTCGTCTAACGGGCGGCGGGGAGTTGCCAGAGCCGGATACGTCAAAGCGAATCTGTCGGCGCCGTCGTCCGCGATACGGCAGATATTATACAGCTCATATCCACGTCGTGCGAGAAAAGCGCGGATGGGGCCGTCCCAAAAGTTCAGCCGGTCTTGCAGTCGGAATTCGGGTGCATCTCGATCTTCATATTCGTCGAGGGAGAAGGGAATCTCTATGTGTGGCTCGGAGAAGGCGGGCTGCGAGAGTGCCATTCGCGTGGGCTGCACGCACAATTCCGGTAAGAATATTCAGGAAGATCTCAGATGGAAACACAATCGAAGTCGATCAGTTGGCTTCGGCGGTCCAGCTGAACTTGTTGATGACAGAAGGGGGGACACGTGCTGATTACTCGATCACGGGATCGTGTCTGAACTTGCCCACGATCGCCCACACCCGGCGCCACGCAACCTCTACGCGACATGGTCAGCGAGGCACCCTCTGAGGAATCTCTCGGGATCCCATTTTCATTGGACGAGTATGAAGACCGCGAAATACCCGAATTTCGAATGAAAGACCGAATCGCGTTCTGGGACGGCCCAATCCGTGCCTTCTTACGCGAACATGGATACATGCTGTACAACATGCTCGCTTTCCCGGAATACGACTTGGATAGCGTCATGCATCCCGCCCTGGAGACGCCAGGCCAACTCTCGGACGACGAGCGCTACGCGTTCATGGATCGTGACTCCCCCGAGGGATTGATCCCTGAGGCTCGAAAAGATGATTTGTATGATTCTCTACGCGTTACTGCATATTCGCGCGAATTTCGGGTGCGGCTTGTCTCAGAATAATATACGGTCATCTCTGAAATGACGTGCCAGGGTCGAGCTGCTTTTGCGCAGCATGCAGCGCGGCCAGATCGACACGTCGCGATCAAGCTAGTCCGAGCAGAAAGCGTCGAAATCCACACTATCAAGCTCATATACGAAGCCTCAAAAGAGAAGCCCGTTCGGGGCCTCATCCCTGTCATCGAAATCATCCCATTCCGCGGTCACTGGCTCGTGGTGATGCCGAGGTGGGGAGAAAGCATCATGGTTCCGTTCCCGACCGTCGCTGGACCGGTATTCGATCTCATCGAAGACCTCCTCGAGGGGCTTTCATTCCTACACAGCCACAACATCGTTCATAGGGTCGGTCAACGGTGCTGTTTAGTGTGCTCCCTGTTCTTGCTAATGTGCTGCAGGATCACTCCTCCAAAAACATCCTCGTGAATCATGTCCCCTTCCTCACATACGACGATATCATCGACGTGCCGGAAACTCGCCAGGCGCTGCGAAACGCCGGCGCTCTCCGCCACGCGATCTTCGACTTCGACGTTGCGCTGGTGTTCCCCGATCGCGCCTCAGCCCGGCTTCCGTGGATGGAGTATTACCTCGGCCCGTGGAAGACCACGCACGACGTCAGGCAGGGGGAATACGACTTCGATCCCTTTGCTGCAGACATGGCCATCTTGGGCAGAGAGCTCGGGCGCCTGAGCGTGCGTATTCCTCTGCGGTTTCATCTTTGTCGCTCATGACCGCTTCAGTCTTACATCCCCTATATGCCGATCTTGGCGCCGCTGCTCGACGGCATCCTTCACTGGCATGTGCCCTCGAGACTGACCGCCCCCCAGGCATTGGCCTTGTTTCGCTCACTGAGAGCAGAGAACAGCTCTCTTGAGGAGCAACGACTGCCCGCCGAAGACGATGTGGTCCACCGGAGCGGTGACTTCTGGGCAGATCTGCCCGTCGACTTCGTCGCGAGATGGAGCCATCTGCGCACCCCAGCCGAGCCATGGACGAGAACCACGCTTCGGAGGTTGTGTCGATATCGGGTTCTGGCGCACTGTGTGCGCTTCATTCGACGTTCCGCCTCGTTCTTCCAGCAGATGTCGGCTCGGAGACGTCTTTGATTCTATCTCCCTGTGTGTGGTCACTCACAAATCCCATCGGAGAGACTCTAAAAGCTTTCATCTCTGGACATAAAAGCAGGGCGGTAGTCGGTAACCAGCCGTAAAACGGCATTGAATGCTCACAAGATCTCCGCGGGCAGTCAGGGATGGACATGAGTTTTGGATCCCCGATTGTGCACACATGGATGTTTGATCTGAAAGATCCCGAATTTATCCATAGTGACCATGATGTCATGCAAACCCGATCTTGCAACGAACTCATATCTGCAGGTCCGTCGCAGAAAACAGGTTTGTTGCTGCGGCTGCGACTGCGGGGGCTGCTGCTGGAAATGTGTTGTCAAAGCAGCCGGCCGCTGCTGCTGCTGGTTGTAACGGGACCGATTTGATTCGTAGCCGATCAGAGTGACAGCCCATGCGTCAAAACCAGTTGAGCATAAGAGAAACAGTACAGTATGCATACATGCATATGTAATGATGCCGTTGTCGTTGTGTTGCTTGTGCCGCATTCGAGCGCGTGAGAAGTCTCACGTGGTCTAACACCCCGCGTTTCAAACTTCCTCCAGCTAACTTACTGTGAACAAAAGGCATTTCTGCGCAAACGATTTCCTGTCGATGGGAACTACATATCCCACATCAAGAATTGGTGGGCACGACGTTCATCGCGAAACATTACCTTCCATCTGATATCGCTCCAGAGCGTCGCGCGTGTTGGGGAGCGCCATCACGGCCGGGGTGAGACGGGGGAGCCACCCACAACATGACTGGGCATCGGATCAGCTATAGCAGGATGATTCAAGAAGAGCTGCGAGAGAAGGGACGAGCGCATTGGATGGCATGGGACCCAGCATCACGGACATATCCCAGTCTACTCCCTCCTTTCGGGATCATCTGGCTGGAATTTCACGACCTCCCATCTGCTCATGAGATTCGACGGCGACTAATTGAAACATATGCGCCTTCTCTCTCGAAGCGCCGCTGTGTCACAAGTTCTTGATGCAATCCGTCAATCTTCCGCACGACCCTGACGTGTGCCGTTGGCCAAATTGTGTTCCGCCCAAACTTGGCCTGGTTTCGCTGGTAGCCGTGTCTAAATCTGTAACTCAAGCGTTGGGCGCTTGGTGGCTGTGAACCGTGGCATTGTTCCAGCGAGGCAGTATGCGCGGAGACAAGGCTGCTCTAGCATGAGGCAGAGCAGCTCACCTCCTGCCCTTGACCATGCCACAAGCTGAGGAACGACAGACCGACAACCGAGAGGCCGATGAAGCATATTCCGAGCGCGAGCGGCCTCACGGGAACAAGCTCTGGGGCGTATACATATCCGAGGCGCAGAGTTCCGATAAGGGTCTCATCGATGGCTGGCGCAGTGAGATGGATGGGCTGCTCATTTTCGTGCGTCCCCAAACGATTTCGATCCCGGTCTCTCGAAGTGAATCTGGGTCTTCAGGCTGGTCTCTTCTCCGGCGTCGTCACGACATTCATCATCGAAAGCTACAAGACGCTGAGGCCCGACCCGGCCAGCGAGACCGTCGCGCTGCTCAACCAGATCTCGCGCCAGCTTGCGAACCTGAACAACGGGACAGCAGTAACAGACGCACTCCCTCCCGTCCCTGCCTTCTCGCCCCCGATCTCGTCCGTCGTTTGCAACGCGCTCTGGTTCACCAGCCTTGGGCTCAGCTTGTCATGCGCACTCGTTGCGACACTGGTCAAACAATGGGCGCAGGGCTTCCCGCACCGGACGGCCATGTTTCCCACCATCTCGATCCAGTCACGCATATACATGTATCTCCACAACGGGTTGCTTCGCTTCAACATGCATGTCGCGGTGCGCGCTCCCCTGCTTTTCCTGCACGGGGCACTGGTCCTGTTCTTCGGGGGTCTGGTGGCATTTCTTGTGCCCGTCAACAATGTCATCATGAGCATATTTTCCGCTCTCCTGCTCCTCTTCGTCTCGGTCTATGCCATGTTCACCGCGCACCCCTTGTTCTTCCTCGACAGTCCGTTCCAGACGCCACTAACGCAGATAATCTGGTCGCTGAACCAAATCTTGAGGAATGTTCTGAGGGCTTATGTTCCACAGACAGTCACCGCGATAGACACCGGGTCCCCCGCCAAACCTTCTGTGACTGTCGACACTCGACTGCAGACCCTCAGCATGCAGGAGGCCATGAAAAGCGCGTCTCTGCATTCCACCGTCGAGACAGAGACCGCGGCCCTTGCGTGGACCATCCAGTCTCTATCTGAAGACAAGAAGCTCGAGCCATTTGTGGAGGGGCTCCCCCAGGCGCTGTGGGATTTCAAGACCAACCAGCCTCGTGGCGTGTATCGGACGCAGTTCAAGAGGCTGTTGCAGAATCCACAGGTCCCTCTCGGCCAGCGGCTCGCGGACTTCATGGATGGCTCCAACAGCAATCTGCTTGATCCCACGGTCCGCTCCCGCCGACAGCTCGCCGTGCTCCGGGCCATCTGGGCTCTCTGCGCGTTCTCAATACACACCGAGTCACCTCTGGAGCGTCCGATTGGAGACATTGACGTGGAAGACGCGCTGCTCGGCTCCAAATTTCTCAGTTCTCCCGACGTGCAGTGCATGGTCCCCGCTGTGTTAGCTCTGGTTCGTCTGAACGTCATCGAGTCCGAACGCCTCTACGTGCAGAGGAGCAACTCGTACCGGGATCCCGAACTGGAGAAGCAGCGGACGTACAAGCAGTATCTCAGGGATCTTTCCGACAGCCCTGCCAGCTTCCAGCGGGAAGTGACCCACTCGCTCTTTTATCGCTCGGAAGACCCCTTCCAGGCCGGGGACCGCTATAACATTCTGCAATTGGGTCTAGAAGAGCTGATTAGATCGGGGGCGGATGGGACCGAGGACAATCTTGTCTTTGCTGCTCGCCGGATGATCAGTGCGATTGCCGATGGGACCTGGAACACGCCGCCGCCCGGCATTGCGCTGTTCCTCGTCCGGCATCCCTCCCTCGCCGTTTATGGGCCGGACTCTGTCTGGCAGCCCGATCGGAAGTATCGTTACACGCGATACTTGTGTCACTGTCTCTGCCAGAACTTGGCGCACCGAATCGACCTCAAGCCATCTGTCGACTCCTTGCGGCTGATTTACGATCATTGGATAAACGACGACCCCCTCGCAAGGCACCCGGGAGACCTCGATACCCATTTCCATGTCCTCCGCACCCTGCGGAGTTCTGGCGCTCGAGCAGCAGACACCCACATGCACCGCTTGGTTGCCCTGGTCCAGTGCGTCGTGGTCTTCTGGGTCCGGCAGGATTTGTCGGAATCGGCGGAACTGCTGAGTATCTTCGACGACGAGCCCTGGTTCCGCGCAGCGATCGGTCTCGACGAGGAGGAGTGGACACAGCGAGCATCGACTCAGGGAACTCGTGACTTGATTCTCAGCTGTGCGTGTGTCGGTGTCATGACCACGTTCCTCGAGCAGTGCGCCCAGAACCCGGACCAGACGGAACCCGAGTTGGACTTTGAGACGCTCAAATCGGTCCAGAAATTCAGCGGCATCTGGGATTTGCAGCCGGGGAGCCGGGTGCTTGGGACCGAGATCCAACGTCGGTTCGCAGACGCCGTCTCTGAATTCCTCCGGAAATATCCAACGGACAGTCTCGCCGAGGGCAAGCCGCTCGGCTGGGTGCTTTTCTGTGCCGTCAACCAGGACCGAGGGTGGATAAACGATCTGGATGCATTGCAGGTCCTGGACGTGGCGGTGTTCGACACGCAGATGGACAGTCAGCAGCAGACGCAGGGGTACTACGCTCCCTTCATCCACGAACAGATCGAAGAGCGGCTCCCTCCTGAGGTCATTTTCGGCGCCTATGTTTCGCTAGTGTCTGACGGGGAGTGAAGTAATTATTACACAGGGTGTAGTTTTTCTCATATTTAGCTTGAGATAGATCGTGTATGTTGTATGCAAAAGCAGCAACGCGAGCTTGAGTTACTTTAGTGCGATAGTCGAACAGCCCATATCTTAAAGTTTCCCCTCCTGGTTTGAGACTTACATGTCGTTGTGTCCAAGCTAGAGATTTCGAATCCTCTGCGCATGCACAGGTGTTCAAATAGAAAGTTCATAAATCGATTCCCGATGGCGCCACCAAAAACTCGAACATCTTGCGAATATCTCATTGCCGACACAGTGTGCGAGGAAACAATATTGCACAGGCAAATTGCGCTGTGGTGGACGAGATAATGCGTCTGAGTAACCGCACGCAACTTTCAAGGAAGCCATATTCGCAGACCCTTCGCAGGAACAACCTCGTCCAAGGAACCGGCGGGGTTCGGAGATGGCCCCACCGCTTGACAAAGTCGTCGGGCAATCCCGCCCATCGGTCATATTTCGACACAGGGACGGACTGCCTCTTGATCTCAGAGAGTGGCTGCTTGTCCAGATTCGGGTATTCAGCTCTGAGTGAGCGGAGCAGATCCAAGGCTTGGGAAGCCGTCAGCCGAGACGGCACGTGCCAGTGCAGCATCCCATCGAAGAGGGGTGCCAGGATGGGCACATAGGGTGTGTAATACTGCGGAGATTGTCAGCGGACAACATCCAGGCCATTCGCGCATGCACACACACCTGAAGATCAGAACAAAGATCCCCACCCAAAATGGACACGTCCGCCGCAAAAGGATCGTAGTCGTATTCGCCTTGAAATATCTCATCGGTGGGCTTGTATGCTCCCAGCCAGAAGAGCGTGTATGGAAGGCGAGCGGATTTGCGGTCGGGGTATATCAGAGCAACGTCGAAATCGAATATGGCGTGCTGGAGAACGCCTGCGTTGCGGAATGGTTCTCGAGTCAGTGGGGGATCGTAGATTTCTTCGTGTCCGAGCACTGGAATGTGATTCACGAGGATGTTCTTGTAGCCGTGGTCCTGCGCGACATGAGCAAACCCTTCGCGCGGTGGAAATGGGGGACATCACCCGGTGGACGATATTGTGGCTGTGAAGAAAAGCCAGCCCTGCGAGCAGATCTTCGATAAGAGACAACGTTGGTCCAACGAGTGTGGGGAATGGAGACATGATGCGTTCTCCCCATCTAGTAGCGAAGATTCAGACGCATGAACCAAGACATGGTGTGTTCCTCACCTGGGCATGACAACGAGCCAATGTCCGCGAAACGGAATGATCTCCAGCACAGGAATGAGACCCTGGACGGGTTCGCGTTTCGACGCGTCGTAGATGAGCTTGAGCGTGTGTATCTCGACGCTCTCACTGCGGACCAGTTTGACAGCAACATGCCGATCCGGCCTGTCGATGCTTTGAGCGTAGGCGGCTCTTCCCTGTTACCCCTCGAGTCAGCAACGACGGATGAGATACATGTACACAGCGACGCACACGATTCTCCCGAGCGTATGGCTTGTCCACGCAGTCAAAATAACTCTTCTCGAGCCCCTCCACGACATCGCAAGAGACATGTCCCGGTTCGACGGGATCCATAAACGCGTAGCGATCGTCGTCCGGTGCGGATCGGTGGGGCGTATCCAGTGCTGGATACATAAGACTGCAGTCAGCGGCATCGAATACTGAGCAGATGTTGTACAGCGCGTATCCACGCTCGCGGAGGAAGGCGCGAATCGGACCGTCCCAGAACGCGAGTCGATCTTCGAGTCGAAATTCAGGTACTAGACGGTCCTCGTACTCGTCGAGAGAGAATGGAATGATGAGATTTTCATCAGATGGTGTAGCATCCATTCTTAGAGTAGTCGTTTGGGGTGGGACCACTGACGACTGGACGAGGACGAGCTAATGTGACGCAGCCGTGGGCACCGTCAACAGCAAAGAATGGCACGTGGTCGCGAATAAGTCACGACATGCCACCTCGTTGATGGCCGAGACACTGAGCACGTGTTTGGACCACGATCACGCGACCCTCCGAACTTACCCTCGAATTCATCGCCCACGCACACTCACACTCGACTTCTACGCGACATGGTCAACGAGACACACTCCGAGGAAGGCCCCGGTATCCCCTTTTCGTTGGACGAGTACGAGGACCGTCTCGTACCCGAATTCCGAATGAAAGACCGCCTCGCGTTTTGGGATGGCCCCATCCGCGCCTTCTTGCGCGGACACGGATACGTGCTGTACAACATGCGCTCATTTCCAGAATACGATGTGGACAGCCTCATGTACCCAGCTCTCGAGACACCTGACGGACCGGAAAATGACGACACCCGCTATGCGCTCATGGATCCTGACTCTCCTGAGCGGGAGATGCCCGATCCGCAAGACGTGTCGTATCTCTCCTTGCGTCGCAGGGCGTATGCGCGTGAAGTTAGGGTGCGCCTTGTTTCAGCCACTGTACTGTTTGTCTCTGACATGAAGCGCCAGGGTCGAGCTGCCTTTGCGCAGAGTGAAGCTCGGCCAGACCGGCACGTCGCTATCAAGCTGGTCCGAGCCGGAAGCGTCGAAATCCACACGCTCAAGCTGATATACGAAGCTTCAAAGGAGAAGCCCGTCCGGGGCCTCATCCCTGTGATCGAAATCATCCCATTTCGCGGTCACTGGCTTGTGGTTATGCCGAGGTGGGGAGAAAACATCATGCTCCCATTCCCGACTCTCGTTGGGCAGGTCTTAGATTCCATCGAAGAACTGTTAGAGGGTCTCGCATTCCTCCACAGCCATAACATCGTGCATAGGGTAGGCAATCGGTGTTACTTCAAGCGCTTCATGGATACATTCTCATGCGTTTCAGGATCATTCTGCTAAAAATCTCGTAGTGAATCATGTACCCGTCCTCACGTATGAGGACCTGAGAGAGGTGCCGCCCACCCGACAGGCGGCGAGAGATGCGGGCGTTCTCCGGCACGCCATATACGACTTCGACATGGCGTTGGTGCTCGATGGTGGTCCCTCGGCTCGGCTACCGTGGAGAGAGTTCTACCGCGGCCCGGGAAAAAGCACGCATGATGTCAGGCAAGGGGAATACGACTTCGATCCCTTTGCCGCGGACATGTGTATTCTGGGTACGACTCTCAGTGATTTCTTGCGAGCGAGTATTCTATCCTCTCACTGTATCCCCACTCACCGTTTCCTCAGTCTTACGTTCCTTTCGTGCCGATCTTGGCACCGCTGCTCGACGGCTTGCTTCACTGGCATGTGCCCTCGAGGCTGACGGCCCCTCAGGCGCTGACTCTACTCCGCTTACTGCGAGCAGCATATACCGCTCTGGAACGTCAGTCATTGCCTGCCGAAGACTGCGTTCCCGAACCGGCGAGGGATCTATGGCAAGGCTTGCCGTCCGAATTCGTTGCGAGATGGGGATATCTTCGCGCACCTCCTGAGCCATGGACCAGGACGACCCTTCGCAGGCTGTGTCGCAACCAGTTTCTGGCGCGGTGTGTGCGTTTCGGGCGACGGATTACCTCGTTCATGACATTGTGACTGTGATCTCAGACCACTCCATGTGGCAGATAGGCCGTAGTGACTGCAGTCAAAACCGTATTCATTTGTGCAAAGGGTACTTTTCGTATGCCTGCTATCAATTTCAACGAGTGTCTCTCCAGCTCTGGAGGCGAAAATCGAGCTGTCAGAAAGAGGGATTCGCGATATGAGTACACTATATTACCTGTCAGGCATCTCGGTGACTGATTCTCTCAATCTAATCAATATCTTATCAGGAATCTGATCTGTTGAGATCGAACGGCTTTGTAGAAGCATGTCCGTGTCAAGGAAGCATGTACAGAGTGCAAAATGCACTGAAAATTTAACCATATAAACTGTGTATATAGGTATGTGAATTGTATACTGACTTCTGTACACAACATGAATACGTATACTATAATACCATATAGAAACCCTATGCCAAGTTCGAAGGACGTGGCCCCAACCGTTGTGCTGCTGTGCTGATCCCTTCCTCCCTTATTTTGGCCCTCCACTCCCTGAACTAATCTTTGTGGAGCCCATGGGATCACCGCTGGGTCAAGACAGGGAAGAAAGTTGGTGGTGATTATTGAGGTGGGTGATGTTCAAATGTTGTGCGTCGAATGGTACCCATCACGTCGGCATATGTGGGGTGATTGCAGAGGTTTTGCAAACTGCTTCAAGGTCTACTCATGTTGCCATGTCCTCATGACCCTCGGTTTCTTGCGCTGGCTCTCTCAGGAGCTGCACTGACCCTCATCCTATACTGTCCCACATGGACGCGTGACCCCCCACAATATTCCAAGAGCAAAATTCATTCACAGATTCATTTGACCAACATCGGGGACCATGCAAGTACTCCGATCACGTACAATGGGGGGACATTGTCGTCAAGGCTTACGAGGGGGAAAAGAAGAACACTTGCTTGGCATCACCCTGTCTCTGAGATTGGATCTCGATCTGTCGCCCAATGTCAGCAGTTGCGAATGAAAAAATTGCACACGAAGCCGATGGATTGACACGAACCGAGGCATGAATGTATCCGCTGCTCGAGTCGAGGCCCCAAACTCCTTCGACGCCGATCAAGGAGACGGAGACACGGCCCTTGATCAGGGTGACAAACCGGAAGCGGGCAGGAGCAAGACCGGGGATGGGCGCGAGGTTCTGGATGCGAATGCGTCAGCGAGCGCTTACATAGCTGAAGACGCTCCCGAAGCGGAAACGCGCTAACCTTGGAGTCAGTCAACACCAATGGGAGGCCCTGGCCAACGTTGGTGATAGTGTAGCCTGCGTTGTTGTCGCCGATAACGTCCCACTGCACACGGTGTGTGAGCGAAGCGGGGAGAGAAAGAACACTTGAAGGATAAAAATACAAACCAAGGCGAAATCCCCGGGGTAATCACGCCCGGATGAGGTGTACGCGCCCTGCCCGATCTCGTAGCTGCGCACGAGGCCACCGACCACACCATCGATGATCCTGTATCTTCCGGGGGAGATAGGGTCGAAGTTACCGAAGACAGAAGCGGCAGGCGAACGCAGACCAGTGCTGGCAGGCAAATGCTCCAGGCCAAGAACGAACTCGTCCAACCGTCTGAACCGGAAGTGCTGGGAGGGCAGACCCCTGAACGGGGCCAGAGTGACCTAGATAGATTGCGGGAATTAGAGGCACGATTCCACAGTGTGTGCGGGACAACACACGCGAGATACGAGAGCCGAGTCGGAGGGGTTCAGCGTCCAAACATAGCCACGATGTTCGGTGGAATAAACCTGGCAATCAGGGAGACTCAAAGAGCGCACTAGAAGAGACTAGGTCGGCAGCTTACGACATACTGCCCCTCAGTGTCAGTCTCTTGAAGGTCAAACTCGTCAGGAGTAGCCCTGCCAGTGGATGCGGTAGAGATGAACTGATGGAATAGCAATGGATCAGTCAAGAGTCAGGACAGCATTACATAACGTGACTGCCGCCTACCTGGTCCTTGTCAACCACTACGGCTGTGTTGTGTCCGCGGTGCATGAGGCGGATCGTGTTGTCCCTGGTGACGGACAATTCGTACTGATCAAAATAATTCGTCGATAGCCCGCCGGAGGAGTTAAACAGCCGCGCACCTGGCCAAAAGGTCCCGGGTACAGCAGGGCGCGACTCACGACGAGCGGGTTACCGATCTGGAAGCCGTGCAAGAGAGCACCCCCAAATTTCGGCGTGGTGATTTCGTACATCCCTGATTCGGGGACGTTGCTGAAACCCTGCTCGTGGGAATTCCGAATCAGAAGAGCAGGACAGAAGCCGCAAAACATGTGGGAGCTTGCCTCGGAGGCCGGGCGCACGTCCTGGGCGCACGAGCCGCCCGAGAAGAGTTGCTGGCGAGAAGGCGCAGCGCTGGCAAAAGACAGCGCGCCGAGCGTCAAGGCGACGAGCTGGGTGAACATTGAGGACGATTGTTGTATCGACTTGAGTGCTAGCGAGTGAGTGGGGGGCAGTCCCAGCGGCCAGCCAGCCTTTTATACGGTTCCTTCAAGATGTTCACACTTGTGATTTACCCCACACAGAAGCCGAATACCAGCGGCGTACGAGCTCGAGTGAATTTGTGTGAACTACTCGCTCGTAGATCGGTCGGGTCGAACGTGGGTGGTACTTCAGTGCCACTTGACAGACCAGAAGAGCGACTAGAGAGCCCAGAAATCGGCCATAACGGCCCCGTGAGCAACACTAAATTCTAGTGCGACGCTACCGTCATGGTTTCTATCCTTGGTCAGGAAAGCATGCCAAGTTCAGCGAGCAGGGTGAACAAATCGATGCGTCTCATCACGCAACCTAGTGTCCATCAGAATACTCTGTGACGCGGTTTCTCGGTACCTCGAAACAATTGCGACATTTACCCCAGAAATGGTCCCAGACGACGGTCATTACACGGTCAGAAGTCGCCACTGTGCTGCGATCCACACGGCGAATGGGCCCATGGTCCCTGGTGTAGCTCACTGATCATCAAGCGCCGCTCCTGACGTCTTCCAGCTGTTCGCGAGCAGATATTTCCTGCAACTTTGGAAGGGATCGGTTCAAGGGATGTTCTGGATGGGAAGAAAGGAGGGGGAAAAAGATAGGATTTCGAACTGGAACAAGTGGTGAGTTGGTTCCAGAGTGAACGGCCTGCAGGAATTTGGGCGGGCTAATATACCTCGGGATTTCATGGACTATTCGACCGACGCAATCAATAATGGGAGCCGAGGAACGAATAGATACCTGCCCCGACTTTCATGCTCCAGTCGGCTGGCGTCCAGTACTTGGCCGATCGTGTATAAGTGGATCGCGGCCTGTCCGTAATTAGGGGTGGATATCTGATACGTGCCCGCCTGCAGGGCAGCTGGTCCAACGAGCCTGCAATGTGCGCAGCCAACGCAGCTTTTATTTAATATTCTGTTTCCGGGCACGCCACCCAAAGCCATATGCACCCGGATTGGGTGTGTGACGACAGCAGCCGTGGGTCAGCATGGGGAAGATAATCGACTTTGAGCGCGTGAATTGCTCGCTCATAGATCGGTTCAAGTTGAGGGACAGTATTTGACACCTTTGCCGTGAGCGTGAGGCATGAAGTTCGGCGCCACTCGTCAGACAATAGAGGCGGCCCCAAGCGCAGGTATTCATGGCCTCAGTTAGGATGTGAAAAGATGAACCGGCCAGGCTTCTCTATATATGTCCAATGTGTAGTGCAGAGCGGTCGTTGGGGGGGACCTGAAACTTGATGCCGGAAGCTGTGATGATCAATCAATCAAGGGTTAACCCTAACCCTAACACAAGGGATCAAATAGCATCTCTCGATGGGTCCTCAGTTCCGCGTGTTTGGGCCACGATCACGCGACCCGCAGAACTTGCCCTCAAATTCAACGCCCACGCACACTCACACTCAACTTCTACGCGACATGGCCAACGAGATACTCTCTGAAAAGGATCTCGGAATCCCCTTCTCGTTGGACGAGTACGAGGATCGTCTAGTACCCGAATTCCGAATGAAAGACCGCCTCGCGTTTTGGGACGGCCCGATCCGCGCCTTCTTGCGCGGACACGGATACGTGCTGTAAAACATGCGCGCCTTTCCAGAATACGACGTGGATAGCCTCATGTACCCCGCCCTGGAGACGCCGGACCAACCGCCAGACGACGACCGCTACGCGTTCATGGATGCTGACCACCCCGAGCGCGCGATATCCGAGCATGGGGGAGATGGGCTGTACACTTCTCTACGCTCTACGGCATATGCGCGTCGATGCAAGGCACGTATCGGCTCGAGCAGCATCTTGTAGTTCTGACGCGAAGTGCCAGGGCCGCGCCGCCTTTGCGCAGGATGCAGTGCGGCCGGATCGCCACGTCGCTATCAAGCTGGTTTGAGCCGCGAGCGTCGAAATTCACACTATCAAGCTCATATACGAAGCTTCTAAAGAGAAGCCCGTCCGCGGCCTCATCCCTATCCTCGAAATCATCCCATTTCGTGGTCACTGGCTCGTGGTCATGCCGAGGTGGGGCGAAGACATCATGCTGCCGTTCCCGACCGTCGCTGGGCCCGTCTACGATCTCATCGAAGACCTGCTCGAGGGCCTCGCATTCCTCCACAGCCACAACATCGTGCACAGGGTAAATGCTGCTGCTAAGAGCGCTTCGTTGGTGGCACTGATACGTTGCATTAGGATCACTCCTCCAAAAATCTCGTCGTGAACCACGTCCCCATCCTCACCTACGATGATATCAGAAACGTGCCCCCCACTCGACACGCGCTGGGACACGCCGGCGCCCTCCGACACGCGATCTTCGACTTTGACGTTGCGTTGGTGTTCCCCGATCGCGCCTCAGCTCGGCTGCCGTGGATGGAATTCTGGCGGGGCGCAGCCAAAGGCACGCACGATGTCAGGCAGGGGGAGTATGAATTTGATCCCTTTGCCGCGGACATGTGCATCTTGGGTCTGTATCTTGACGACTCGTTGCGGGTGAGTATCCCGCTTCTCTCTCGAGCCTTGCGATGATGATGATGACCTCCCAGTCGCATATCCCCTACATGCCGATCTTGGCACCGTCGATCGACGGGTTGCTCCACTGGCATGTGCCCTCGCGGCTGACAGCCGCTCAGGCATTGGCCTTACTGCGATCCCTGAGAGCAGAGAATAGCTCTCTCGACCGTCAACGACTGCCCGCCGAGCGGTCCGTGCCAGATCCAACAAACGATCTCTGGAGAGGTTTATCCACCGACTTCCTCGCAAAGTGGGGCCATCTCCGCATTCCCCCGGAGCCACGGACGAGAAGGATCCTTCGGAGGTTGTGCCACAATCGATTCATGGCGTGGTCTGTGCGCTCTATGCGCCGCGTGGTTTCATTCAAGCCACTAGGATCACGATCTGATACAACTTCACCCGGGCATACCATTCCATTGTAGCAAGGTTCACAGCCAACCACATGTACTGATGGTTAAGGGTACTTTGGATCGCAACGACTATCCTTTGACGGGCACCAGCTGGTCTCCCCACAACCACATCCGGCTTTTGAGGATCCGGGCGGTGTAGCCACGAGCATCTGGTCCAGGGCTGATGTAGTCATCGGTCACACGTAGTTCTGGACAGTAGTCACTTGAGCGTCATCAATCTTTCTCTCGATCACAGTCGACGGGTTCAGCGAGTCGTCATCGCCGAGGACGGGGCGGATGGAGTGGGCCTTGACCGCGATCTGAGCTAGTCGGCCGCCTCGGCGGGGGACGCTAGGCAAAATTTCGACGAGACATTAGAAGGGAATGTTGAGCTTGGTGTGCTGTACGAGGCTGGAGAAGCCGGGGGACACCAGCCGTTCGCAGACGGTTGTTTCAGTAACTCGCCTAACCCGCAACGGAAAGCGACCAAGGCAGAGACGCACGTCACCGGGATGAACAATGGCTTGTCAACGAGGCCAACGAACCTAGGGCATGGGGCGCACACAGCACCTTGTAAGATTAGGCCGTCCGGTTCAGACTGCCCCATTAAGCCCAGCTATCTTTGCTTTTGCGTGAGAACCAGATCTGAGCCGGAAACGGGGGAGCACAGATCGATCACCGCGGTATCGGAGAAGCAGACAAGGTCCCATTCAATGCGCGTAATGATATATGATAAGGTTTTGACTTGTGTGAGATGCACCGGTGCGAGGGGTTGTGTTGTGTGCAGGGTCGGAAGGACAGCTGCGGCATAACACTCTGGGAGGCCATTACTTAGTCTGCTTCAAACGGAGCCATATTCATTGCCAGTGGCAGCTGCCTGAGAATCCAAGCTCCGACTGGGCCATGCGTGAGAGAGACGAGGACAAGGGAACAAAAGCGGTAGTCATGACTCGAAACGGGTGTGAACTATGCGTGAGAATGCACGTGTTGGACGCGCGCATCTTTGATGTATTGTGACAGCTCTTGACAGCACGTTGACAGCGAAGCGACTGACTATGACGTTGATTGTGGACCCACAAACGAGATTTCCCCGCTGGTACGCGTTCCTCTTCAAGGTCTTAGCCTCGAAGAGGGCCGTTTGTTGCTGGAGATCAAAAGAATGTTCTCCAGGCCTATTCATACAGATCGTCACTTCCAGATGCGTGGTCAGCGGGGCTGGTGACAGGCATCGATTTATTCTTAGCAGGGAAGCTGAGAGAAGCACGAGCCAAAACATTCCGGGCCCCAGATCAAGATAGAAGAAACGGCGCGGGTGGATGTCAGGGCACACACGCGGAGCAGATTTCGCACGCGATCGGTCGCTGCTGATCTTCCGATCCTAGACGATCACAAGGTCCAAGGAACGACACACACGACTTTGTGATGGATTTGGCGCTGATAGAAGCCCCATGAGTTACAGATCCATCGGTGAACTAAAATTGGCGGGCCTGTGTTTACTTTCGGACTGACTCGTTCAGCGCCTGGGCTTTGTCCGGTATTTCCCTCGCTCCTGAGTTGAGCATATGGTTCAGGATGCCCATCAGCCCCCTGGAGAAGATCAATTCTGAGCGTTCCTCCCCGACTTCCCATGAGAACAAGGGCTTCCGCCAGCAAGAGGGTCGTCAGACTGACTCTACGGGTGTAGCACGTAAGATCATTTGTGCGTCTTTCACAGTGCCACGGCCGTTCCCGTGTTTCCCGTCCAACTCTGTGAGGATTCGCTCAGTCTTGAAGAACTTGTGGCAGGGCTGGCTGGAATACCGTTCAGCGGCGTGCAAAACATTGGTAGACTCCTGATGCGCCAGCACCGCATGCGAATGCCATCAACATCAGTCTATATATCCGACAAGACGTATCTGTTGTAAGGACGGCATAAATTGAAGAATATAACAGCTGCCCCGCGAAATAAAAGTTGATCAAAGAGGTTTCTGACGGGGCCGCTTCTGTAGGAGTGAAGCGGAACGTCGCACGAAACGGATACAGCCCTCCAGAAATCCATACTCACACAGCCTCCGAAGGGTCGTTCTGGTCCATGGCTCCGGCGGAGTGCGAAGATGGCCCCATCTCGAAACAAAGACGGAGGGCAAACCTTCCCAGCGATCGGCTTTCCTACTGCCCATGCCGTCTTTGGCAGGCAATTGTTGGCGTTCCAGAGAGCGATTTTCTGCTCTCAGTGAGCGTAACAAGGACAGTGCCTGGGAGGCAGTCAGCCTTGAGGGCACATGCCAGTGACGCATGCCGTCGATCAACGGCGCCAAGATTGGCAGATGGGGAATAAAAGACTGAAGATATGATCATTGAGGGTAAAACCGAGGAGAAGATACTCACCCGCAAGGAATCATCAAGCACTCGACCCAAGATGACCATGTCTGCGGCAAAAGGGTCGAAGTCGTACTCCCCTTGCCGGACATCATGCGTGCCTTTGATTGGGCCGCGATAGAACTCCATCCACGGCAGCCGAGCCGAGGAGCGGTTGGGAAACGCCAGCGCGACGTCGAAGTCGAAGATCGCGTGGCGGAGAACGCCGGCGTTTCGCGCCGCCTGCCGAGTAGGCGGCAGGTCTCTCAGATCCTCGTATGTGAGAACGGGGATGTGGTTCACCGCGATGTTCCTGGCGCAGTGGTCCTGTGACGCATAAGCATTCAGATAAAGCGAGCCTGGCAGCAGCGTCGACCTACCCTGTGCACGATGTTATGGCTGTGGAGGAACGCGAGACCCTCGAGCAGATCTTCGATGAGGTCGTATACGGGCCGAGCGACGGTCGGAAACGGCAGAAAGACCTCTTCTCCCCACCTCGGCATGACGACCAGCCAGTGGCCACGGAATGGGATGAGTTCGATGACAGGGATGAGGCCCCGGACGGGCTTCTCTTTTGAAGCTTCGTATATCAGCTTGATAGTGTGGATTTCGACGCTTTCCGCCCGAACTAGCTTGATAGCGAAATGTCGATCTGGCCGAGCCGCACTCTGTGCAAAGGCAGCTCGACCCTACGCTTCATGTCAGAGACAAACAGTACAGTGTTTAAAACGAGACGCACCCGAACTTCGCGTGCATACGCCCTGTGACGCAAGGAAAGATACGACTCGTCTTCAGGATCGGGCATCTCCCGCTCAGGAGAGTCGAGATCCATCAGCGCGTAGGTGGCTTCGTCATCGTCCGGCCCGTCAGGCGTCTCCAGAGCCGGGTACATGAGGCTGTCCACGTCGTATTCCGGGAAAGAGCGCATATGGTATAGAACGTATCCGTGTTCGCGCAAGAAGGCGCGGATCGGGCCATCCCAAAACGCGAGGCGGTCTTTCATTCGGAATTCGGGTACGAGACGATCTTCATACTCGTCCAACGAAAAGGGGATACCTGGGTCTTTCTCAGAGTGTGTCTCGTCGGCCATCCCGCGTAGAGGTCGAGTGGGACTCTGTGTGGACGTTGATGGGTAAGTTGAGTGTGGGTCTCGTGATCAAGAATTTTTGAGCACGTGTCCGTGTTAAGTAGTGTGATCACTATCATTGATAGTATCATTGTATAGTGTATCAAGCTCTAAAGCCGCGTCTATTCGTAGCAGCAATGATGTGGTCAAGGGATTAGCTGACTGTTTGATGATTTCTACAATTCGACTCTCTAATGGCCATTTGATTTTTTTTTTCGCAAATCCACACATCACGACCTGCTGGATCTGAGTGAAGCCACGTGCAAAGATCGAGGCTGCTTGCACGCTTCCTGGAACGTCCCAATCCTGCGGTGCTCCTCAAGATTTTAGCCGAGCTGTCACCCCAGACAAAGAGGTACACTATCCGGTAATCATCGAAACTGCACGTCTGAGTAAACGCACGCAACTTGCGAGCAAGTCATATCTGCAGATCCTCCGTAGAAACGACCTCGTCCAAGGAACCGGTGGGGTCCGAAGATGCCCCCACCGCTTGACAAAGTCGGGAGGCAATCCTGCCCATCGGTCGTATTCCGACACATGAATGAAACGCTTCTTGACAGCAGGGAGAGGTCGGTCATCCAGATCGCTATATTCGGCTCGCAACAAGCGGAATAGTTCTAGTGCCTGGGAAGCCGTCAGGCGAGATGGAACATGCCAGTGCAGCATCTGGTCGAATAGGGGCACCAGGATAGGCATATAGGGTGTGTGATACTGCAGAGGCAGTCAGTGGCTGACAGTGCAAGAAACGCTCTACACGCACTTGCAGATCACGACAAAGATGACCTCCCAGAATGGACACGTCCGCCGCGAACGGATCGTAGTCGTATTCACCGTGGAATATCTCATCGGTGAACTTGGGTGCTCCCAGCCAGAATTGGGTGTATGGTAGGCGAGCGGAGTAGCGGTCGGGGAATATCAGAGAGACGTCAAAGTCGAATATGGCGTGCTGGAGAGCGCCTGAGTTTCGAAGTGGTTCTCGCGTCAGTGGCGGATTGTCAATGACTGCGTGTCGGAGGGCAGGAACGTGGTTCACGAGGATGTTCTTGTAAGAGTGGTCCTGTGTGACATCAGGACATCGTTCGTGTACCACAAGATGAGAAACATCACCCGATGGACAATATTGTGGCTGTGAAGAAACGCCAGACCTGCGAGTAGATCTTCGATGAGAGACAACGTTGACCCAACGAGTGTGGGGAACGGAGACATAACGTCTTCTCCCCATCTAGCGGTGAGGATTCAGACGAGCGATGAAACAAAGACAATGCGTGTACCACACCTGGGCATGACAACGAGCCAGTGTCCGCGAAACGGAATGATCTCGAGCACAGGAATGAGACCCCGGACGGGTTCGCGTTTCGACGTGTCGTAGACGAGCTTGAGCGTATGTATCTCAACGCTTTCACTGCGGACGAGTTTGATAGCAACATGTCGATCAGGTCCGTCGATCCTTTGAGCGTAGGCGGCTCTTCCCTGTTGTCCCTAAAGTCAGCGACGACGAATGAGCTACTTTTGCGTAGCGACGCACGCGATTCCCGCGAGCATATGCCTTCCCTGCACAGTACTGAAGTGTGTTCTCGTGGCCACTCTCCACAATGGGCATTACGCGACCTGGCTCGTCGGGATCCATGAATGCGAAGCGATCATCGTCCGGGAGGGATCGGTGGGGCGTGTCCAGTGCTGGGTACATCATACTGAACTCGTCGTCTTCGTCTCTGGGACAGATATTGTACAGCGCATATCCTCTGTCGCGGAGGAAAGTACGAATCGGGCCATCCCAGAACGCGAGTCGAACGTCGAGCCGAAACTCTGGTACTAGACGATCCTCGTATTCGTCGAGGGAGAAAGGAATCCCGAGGTCTTTTTCTGAAGAACCCAGGGTCATGTCGCGGACGAGTTGCGTCTTAGGGCACTGCTCGCGACCCGGGGACAAGAAGGAGCTGAAGTGCCAAGGTCATTTTGACACGGTCACAGCAGACACCTTCATCCATCACGTGGTCATCAATCGAGAAATCACGAGGTGTCACAACAACCTAAGTAACACTGAACGTTCAATGAACACACCCTGACCTTACATGACCGATAATGCTGTTCCTGAAAAACACCTGGAGATCCCTTTCTCCCTGGATAAATACGAAGATCGCAGCGTCCCGGAGTTCCGACTCGAAGACCGCCTGGCATTCTGAGATGGCCCAATACGCCTCTGACCATGATCTGCCAGGGTCGCGCCGCTTTTGCGCAGCATGCAGCGCGGTCGGATCAACACGTCGCTATCAAGCTGGTCCGAGCCGAAAGGGTCGAAATCCACACGCTCAAGCTGATATACGAATCTTCAAAAGAGAAGCCCGTCCGCGGTCTCGTTCCCGTGCTCGAAATCATTCGGTTCCGCGGTCATTGGCTCGTGGTCATGCCGAGGTGGGGAGAAGAGATCATGCTACCGTTTCCGAGCGTCGCTGGACCGGTCTTCGATCTAATCGAAGATCTGCTCGAGGGTCTCATTCCTCCATAGCCATAACATCGTGCATAGAGTAGGTCGACAGTGCTGCTGGGCTCGCTTCATGTGAATGCTTATGCGTTGCGGGATCACTCCTCCAGAAACATCGTCGTGAATCATATCCCCATCCTCACATATGATGATGTCAGAGAGTTTCCGGAAACTCGACAGACGCTGCGAAACGCCGGCGCTCTCCGACACGCTATCTTTGACTTCGACGTTGCGCTGGTGTTTCCCGACCGCTCCTCGGCTCGGCTGCCTTGGATGGAGTTCTATCTCGGCGCGCGAAAGAGTACGCATGATGTCAGGCAAGGGGAATACGATTTAGATCCTTTTGCTGCAGACATGGCCATCTTGGGCAGCGTGCTTGTTTTTTCCTTGCGAGTGAGTATTCTGCTCCCTCTGTTTTACCCCCAGTGACCATATCTTCAATCTTACATTCCCCATATGCCAATCCTGGCACTGCTGCTCGACGGCGTGCGCCACTGGCATGTGCCCTCGAGGCTGACTGCCTCCCAGGCACTGTCCTTGCTACGCACGCTGAGAGCAGAACATGGCTCTCTCGAACGTCGACGACTTCCTGCCAAAGAATGTGTGCCTGAACCAACCGACGGTTCTGTTTGGGAAGGTTTGCCGTCCGACTTCATCACAAGATGGGGCCATCTTCGCACACCACCGGAGCCATGGACGAGAACCACCCTTCAGAGGGTGTGTCAATATGCGCTTCTGGCGCAGTGTGTGCGTTTCGTGCGACGTGTTGCTTCATTCTTACAGAGTGGACTGCGTCGGAAATGTATTCAATGCTTTGCTTCTACGGTGAGTGTCTTCAGAGAGTAGTCCTCTCGGCCTGATCCTGACGTTTAACGCCTAGTTTCGCTCCGCCAAAGCCGCCATCTCGGCCCATGGAAATGCAGAACAGGCCTGAGACCAACCACCTCAGATTCTCGATCGGCAGTTGGGCGTTGGGAGAACGCGTAGATCGGCATGTTCTCTCAGTTAAAGATCTCGCCGCTCAGTTGGAGTATGCTGAACGGGTTCCAAACCTCGAGGGCGGTAGTGCACACGGAAAGCCCTGGCAGCTGTCGCATACCAGTGGATACACACCTTTTCAAGAGATTTGACTTGCCCGCCATGCATCTCTTGGTCTATTGACACTCATGCTTTCTGAGCGCTTGCTCTCTCGTGCTAGCCATACGTGCGACTTCAATGGGGATCGGACCGGGCCACTCAGAAGCGCCATTGTTCAGTCCAGCCTCCGCAGCACTGATGAGAATCCTGAGTCATATGCCCAATTAAGAAGCTGGGGGAATGCCGGACGAGACCCGCGGGGCCAAACGAGTCAGACCACAGAATCTCCACAGGCCGCCACGGTCCCACCAATCGCGAGCCTCCGATAAATATCTGGTTCGTGGGGCTTCGATCAGCGCCGAATCCATCACCAAGCCGTGTGCGCTGTCCCTTGCGATTGTCCAGGATTGGAAGAATCAGCCACCGCCGGTGGGGTGCGAAATCTGCTACGCATGTGCATCCTGGCATCCACTTGGGTGGTTTATTCTGCCTTCATCTGGGGTTCGGGATGTTTTGGCTCGTGCTTGCCCCAGCTTCCATGCTAAGAATAATGATTCAAGATATCGATGACTGTCAGCAGCCCCACTGAGCCCGAATTTGCAGCGATGATCTCCAGGACCGGCCTGAGACCAACTTGGAGAAACAGCCGTTCGATCTCCAGCAACAAACTGCAGTATTTGAGGCTGAGATTTTGAAGAGGAGCGCATTTCAGCGGGAAAATCTCGTTTGTGGGTCCATATACATGTCAACGTGCTGTCAAGAGCTGTCACAATCCATCAAAAATGCACGCGTCCAACACGTGGACTCCCACGCATAATTCACACCCGTTTCGAGTCATGACTACCGCTTTTGTTCCCTTGTCGGCGTGTCTCTCACGCACGGTCCGGTCGGAGCATAGATTCCCAGTCGATTGCCACCAGAGATAACTACCACTCGGTTTGAAGCGGACTTTCCCTTTCTCAAAATGTTATGCCGCAGCTGGCGATCGTTGTTCGCAGACTGGCTCTGCACGATTCGGACAGCATAGCATCGCACCGGTGGATTTCACACCACCGAAGATCATCTCATCTATCATGACACGCCACTGAATCAGACCCTGACTGCTTCTCTGGCACCGCGGTGATTTCCAGACCCTGTGCTTGGACGAACGAATCTCAGCTGTCACATCTGTGAATGAGCGCCGGGAGAACATCAAAGCTAGTTCTATGCAGACTCGAATTCTGGGACAAGCACCCCTCTTCGACGCGCGTCCAGCCGCTGGCTTGACTATGCAAGAGTATCTGACCCTGGGGCTGTCTTGGGGAAGAGAGATCAGGCGGCTGGAAAGTGACCATCTACTCTCCGCGTTTCTGTGTGTACAATGTGAATTCGGAATCGAAGACTGTAATGTGTCGATCTGTCTCCCCCCAGTTTTCGGCTCAAATCTGGTTCTCACAAGAAGCGAAGATAGCTGGGCACAATGGGGCAGTCTGAATGGAATGTCCTATTCTTACAAACTGGCGTTCCACGCTGTAGATTTATTGCTCCCGTGGTCCAGCTCTTGTCCATCTCAGTCACTGTGACGCGCATGACTTGGGGATACAAAAGCATTCTATAAAGAGGACATGCATTGGCCGGTGTGGAAAACATACAGCACTCTCCACGATGTCTCGTCGAAACCTTGCCCAAAACCCTCCTCCAGATATTGACGACGTTGGTATCTCTGATTCGTTATGATGACGAAGAGCTGACCGCTACTTTCCCATAGATCGTCGAGAATGAAACGATCGTTACCGTCAAGCCTGGTCTCAACCCTGCTCCTCGTATCAAAGGGGAGGACGAGATGGTCATTCCGCCTTCTGCGCTTTGTCTCGCATACAAGAAGAAGCCGAATCCATCTCATGGCTCGGTGCGTCTCTGACCGCTCCAAGCTCCTCTACTCCTCTGATAATTTGCGCAGCTCACGCTAGCAACGCTGGGTCAATCCTATCTTTACCGTCTCAAATTCGAGCGTCCGGCCTATGTCAAGTCTGAATGGTCCCCCGAGTGTCTGAATAATATCAATGAAGGTGTAGAGCAAAGCATGTTGTTGGATCCCATCACCAGGGCCCCTTTGTTGCCTGACCGGGTGCTGCAGGTGCATTATATTATGGCTTGCTCTGTGATCGATCTCACGTACCTTCAGCCTAACGAGATCTTCCACTTGAAGAACAGTGTCAGGCTGACGATGGGTTTTTTTGACAAGGAGAAAGGGAGGAACGCTACCATGCCCGTGGTGGGACGAGCCGGACATCACGTCGAGATCAAGATTTCCGGGCCCCTGGAGGTTTCGAACCGGAAGGTCTGTCTAGTTCCTACTAGTATTCGATCTTCACCAGTGTCCTAATCAGCTCGCTAGCTGAAGACAACTTTGGTCAGATTCCACCGCTACATATATCGCTTCAAGATTTACACCGAGGTCGTTGCCCACGAGGTGGTCAGTCGTGACTGGATTCCTCGTGAGAGTTTGAATACCGATTCTGAGAAGTCCTCGACTATTGTGTCATCGTGATGCTCCTGTCGTGCGGCCACCGAAGTTTTCTGTATTTCTTGCGCAGGCTATAGTCAACGTAAATAAATGTCGTGAAAGTTGACCAATTCAATAATTCCAATCCGCTGCGTCGGATGACCCGATTAATTTGTGTTGTAATCGTGACTGACCCATCCTCAGATACCCAGATAAGATAAGATATGATATGACTAATCTCGGATAGATTGGTAACCTGTACAGAAAGGAGACTCTATTGTCTCTCTTTCTGTACCAGCTGAAACACATTTTGGCTGTGCGGGTAGTCTAGAGCAATCCTCATCCGATTCAGAGTAGTGATTAGTCATCCATCCATCTTTTCCATGAAGACCTCCCACCCGCGTGCTGAGCCCCATTCTTCGTGGGTCCATTTTTGCATGCCTGACCCCAGGAGTGCTCCATTTGGTGATTGGAGGAGATTTGAATACTCACGAGGCCATGGCCCTGCCTTCACCACCCTCATACTTATTGGACCGGCAGAAGCAACAAGACAAATACCTAAACCACACACACATGTGCCCAAGAGGTCTACCCATGAAACTCAATGAGAAGAGCATTGATTATGCCTGGAATGGCGGAATAAAGGATCTACGCTACAACAACAACAAAGGAACCCAAACCGGCCACTACCAAATGGATGAACAGATAGCAACCCAGTACAAGAAATGGCACATAGTGTCATAGTTTGACCACTTTTTCATCTTATCATCAATGATCTTATCTTATCTCGACATGGGTTATCTTATCACGGATCATGGCATCAGACGGTCCGGGCTAGTGGTCCAGGGGATCATCTTTACCAATTCAAGGCTGTGTGACATATACTCTGGAAGGTTCTACTACAACCCATGACCAGTGCTCCATGCGGTACATAGTCTTATGACTCATTAGTTGTAGATATGACTCAGACCACCTCAGTTACCACCGCCATCACACGGTTCTCTATGGAGGCCCGCAACAGCATGCTGATATGTGAGGACTTCTCCCTTGTAAGCGGCAAGTTTGATCATTGATTGGTGATCTATTGAGCAATGAGTTTTGTCCCATGTTCGTGAACCAGGACCCCATGCACCAGGCCATATGAAGTTGTTTTCTGTAACTAGCTCATAGACTATGTAGGTGTAGGTAGATACAACCTGTGAGTACAATGAGGAGATAGCACCCTGTTTGATCCTGGCCCGAGGCATCCAGCAATGATCAGAAGGATCATGTGCAGCTAGCTACCTTGACAAGTTTGCTGACAAATCCACTGAGCTTTCAGTTCGTGGAGAGATTGGCTTGCTTGCACGTTGCTATTGTACCTTATAGTGTCGGTAGTGATTCTATAGTGTCGGTAGTGATTCTATAGTGTCGGTAGTGATTCTATAGAGCACAAGGAACACTAAACTAAGCAAGGGACAACAGCCGGAAGAATTGACAGTACTGTGAGCATTGGTGTTGGCTTGGGAACTTTTTGAACAGGGAGCCAACATTTCCGCCACCAAAAAGATCCACCTTGAGTTTGCTTTTATTTGATGAGCATACAGTAATGATCTGAAAGGAAATCAGACTTATGGAGATGTCATGATTTGTGGGTCAGTCAAACAAGTCATAGAGCCTGTGGATAATGTCTCAATAATGACAGTTACCAAGTTGAAAAAATGCAAATCTTGTAGGTCAGACAAGAATACCGATCCCTTGGACTTCTTGTATTGGACATGCTGCACAAAACAAAGGAACAAGGCAACTGAATAATGCAGCAAGTTGGGACCAATAGATGAGACAGGAACAGCGCTAGCGTTGTTGATAAACTTGACAAATGACTCATCATCATTGCCTGTAAGAGTATTGAGCAAAAAATGCATGCAGAATAAGGAACCAAAGTACTGGCAGATTCAATCATCTCCTCAATAAGGAAGCTGCAGCGGACAGAGTGTGAATCCTTGATGGTGCTCCTAGTTGCGACAGAGTTGTGAACAATTGCCACACCCACTTCTACAAAGCAAATGTCAAAAATCGGTAAATTGGCCAGAGGTGTAAGGGCAACCTCAAGGCCCAATCTCAGAGTCCTGACAAGGGAGAGTCCAAAGCGTCAGATAAAGGGATCGACTAATACAGGAGACTGGCAAACCTGACAAGGGAGAGTCCAAAGAGAAACCGAGTTGGGGACTCTCCTTGTCAGGGCCCACTATATATAGCCTACAGAGTAATGGATGACCAAGCACAATGAGAAGCGCCAGACAATGGGGCCAGGGAACAATGAGGGGCAGGATCGGGGAGAACAATGGGAGCTGGACTGTCGGAACAATGGGGGCCCAGGCCGGAGGGTCATGTGGACGTGCTTGGCAGGGAATTCCGGACTGAAGCATGTGACGCCTGACAGATGGCATGTGCGCAGTCACATGCAAGATCCCATGATGATCGGACAAAAGCAGGGGTTCCCCTGACATCACCCCCTCTCTTGATTGTGGCGCCTCGACGCAAGGCATGGTTGGGAGTCGATGAGTCCCTGAAGGGCAGCAAGTCAGATATGGCTGTTGCAATGACACGTGGCTTCCCAGGGTATCTGCAGTAAAATGCTGCTACCGCGTTGTCAGCAAACACATCCGAGTGCTTGACTCACTGGTTGTGAGATGGGTCATAGCCCTTCCATTGTACTTGGAACCAGACACTCTGGTAGCGCATCTTTGCATCTAGGATCTCCTCCACTTCCCACTCCTCTCCTTTGCCTTGTCCCAGGACAGGGGGTGGTTCTTTGTGACGTGGGCGAGTGGGGAATGGGTCCTCTTTGGCCAACTAGAGCTTGACCACGGGGAAGACAGGGTGGAGGTGAGAGAGGCTGGTGGGGAGGGCAAGTTTGTATGCGCCTCAACCCACAACTTGGGTGACTTTGAAGGGGCCCAGGCGTTGGTGGGAGAGGCCACAAGAGGGTCACATTGTTGTGATGTCCAAGACATCAAGCCAGACTTGGCTGCCAACCTTGATGTTGGGAGCGGCAGTCCTCTGTCGGTTGTAGTACCTCTTGTACTCATCCTTTGCTTTAACCAGTGCTGATTTGGTTTTGGCTACACCCAATGCGACCCGATCCAGGAACTCATTGGCCGACTTTGCTTGTGTGGAGCGCTGCTCCATTGGCTCGAATCCCATGCGTGGTAAATGTCCCGTGTCCATCATGAAGGGAACCTGCTGGGTCAAGGAGTGAACGTGGTTATTGTAAGCAAACTCAGCTGTGGGTAAGAGCTTGTCCCAGTTGTCCTGCTTGTCGCTAGTGAAGATCCGGAGGTACTGCTCCAACTTCTGGTTGACCCACTTGGTCTGACCATCAGTCTGCGGGTGGTAAGCAGTGGATGTGGCAGGGGAGACGCCAACCAGCTTCCATAGCTCTTGAGTGAAGTCCGCCACAAACTAAGGGCCACGGTCTGAGACATACTTGATCGGTAATCCGTGGTGTTGCCAGACATGCTTGTAGAACAACCAAGCCATCCCTTCAGCTGAGAGGCGAGTGTGGCACTCAATGAAGTGAGCACGCTTCCCTAGCACATCAATAACCACCATGATGGCGTTGTAGCCGTGTGCCTCGGTGTGACAATCAACCCAAAAACAAAGTTGAAAAGAGAAGTGAATTCGAAGACTGGAGAATACAACCAAGTAGCTACAGTATTTATACCCAAATCCAGTCTGAGTCATATCTACAACTAATGAGTCATGAGACTATGTACCGCATGGAGCACTGGTCATGGGTTGTAGTAGAACCTTCTGGAGCATATGTTGCACGGCCTTGAATCAATAAAGATAATCCCTGGAACCCCTAACTCGGACCGTCTGATGCCATGATCCGTGATAAGATAAGTCATGCCAAGATAAGATAAGATCGTTGGTGATAAGATGAAAAAGTGGCCAAACTATGACATTACCCCTTCTCTAGGGTTGATGTCCTCATTGACTAGGCCAATGGGCATGAAGACGTTCTTGTAAGGGTCGAAGAGTTGTCATTGGGGGTATGGAAGGCGCTTGTCTCTGGGTTTGTAGCGGTGAATGAGATAGTCCCAATGTCCAGCTTTGAGTGTTGGCAGGAGGCGAATGTGTGTGTCTGGGTTTGATTGTTTCCTCTGCCAGTCTCTCAGGACCTTCTTTGCATGGGTAAGGTGACATGATGGTTCCCAGGTGTTCTCGCTATGCGGCCATCCCTTCCATTTGACCAAGTAATGCTTCCCTTGGCCAACTTTTTGTTCCTTCACAATTTCTTCAACTTCCCACTCTTCTGCTCCTCCAATCATCTTGGCTACAGGTCTCTTCTCTCAGCAATGGGGGGGTGGTTCGTGATATGGTGTCAATAGTGACTCGTTGAACACCGGGTGTCTTCGGTCCGTGTCCGGCAAATCCAGCTTCCATGCGGCCGCTCCAACCTTCTCCAAAATCTTGTATGGTCCCAATCTCTTGTCACTCATCTTCTTCTAGGGCCTGTCCGTCTTGATATTTTCCCCTTCTATGTACACCTTCATCCCAACCTTAAACTCCGGAACTTCTTTTCTTCGTTTATCGTAGTATTTTTTCATTTTTTCTTTTGCTTTTTCCAATGCTGCTTTTGCTTTGTCTTGTATTTCTTTGATTCTTTTTACAAACTCCTCCGCCGACTCGTTCCTCAATTCCATCTGCTGCTCCACTTCCTTCCATGGGCAATATCCGTGATTTGCATAGAACAGTGATATTTTGGTAGACATGTTCATTTTGTTGTTATATGCAAACTCCGCCATTCCCAGCCACCCCGACCAGTCCATCTGATGGTAATTGATGTAGATGCAGAGATAATGTTCAATCTCCTGATTCATGCGTTCTGTCTGCCCATTGGTGATTGGGTGATATGCAGTCCCCGGGTTCATTTCCACGCCCAATATCCAATTCGTCTCCTTCATGAAGCCCTTGATGTATCGTGAGTCCCTGTCAGTGATGATCTTGCGAGGGATCCCATGATAGCGGAAGACTTGGTCCCTGGTTAACCGTGCTACTCCTTCGCTGCTGACGTCAATACTAATTGGTTCGACATGGATCATTTTGGTGAAGGTGTCACACCACACATGAATTGCGTCATACCCATTACTGACCGGTAAGGGTCCAATTTGATCCATGG